GCACTTTGGCAGCTAAGCAGGGCAGTTGCAAGGTCAGTGGCTAGAACACCTGCTGTTAGTGATAAGCAGCAAGCCTTGAAGACACTCTGTGGTGCTTTCCAGAGCTCGAGTCTCTACGGTCAGCACGTAATGTTTTGGCTAACTTTTAAGTTTTCTGTCTCATGATTTTTACTTCAAGGCCCTGTGAGGTGTGAGAAAGGAAAAGCCTGAAATGGCTCCTGACAACTTGCTTTCTTTTTCTGAAAAACTAGAGCTGTAGCTATCAAATCCTCAACTCCCTCAGAGACCCAAGAAGGAAATAACAGGAACTGAGTAAGCAGGAGGTGCAAGCAGGCGACTTCCAATCCATGGAATGACAGACAACAACTGTCTGCGCGTAGAGTAACCCAAATCGAGTTTCTGGTAGCATCGGGACATCCACCTTCAGCCTTCAGGCCTAGCATATTCGACAGGCTTTTCTGTGAAGGAGGATATTCTGTGTCCTGCTTGTCTTTAGGACAATGTCATGTCGGCAGTTGAGACAAGGGCATTTTTTTTGCCCGATGGCTTAATTTTTGCCTCAGAGAAAGTAAACTCCAGGTGGAGTTTCACCCATGTCCATCATCTTCTCTGAAGAAGAATGCTGCTGCAAGAAGCAGACATGTCTCATTGTCACAAAGAGAAGTGTACAAGGAGCTCTGGGCTGCGATCCTGCCGCCTGGCTCCCAGCTGCCTGGCCAGCTTATGCCCTGAAATAACAACACACAAACTCTATTTTTTTAAACACCGCTTGGCCTGTTAGTTATAGCCTCTTATTGCCTGACCTCCCATCTTGATTAACCCGTTTCTAATCATCTGTGTTGCACCACGATGTGGTGGCTTACCCTTACCGGGAAAGATTCAGCATGTCTGACCTGGCGGCTGGCTCCACGGCGTCTGGCTCACTTCCCTTCTTCCCAGCATTCTCTTCTGTCTACTCTACCCACCTATGTCTGACCTATCAGGCCAAGCAGTTTCTATATTAATTATTCAACGAAAGCAACAGATAGACTTATGGCCTTCCCACATCAGAGAACAACCAAGGTTATTAAAACATTTTAATTGCCATATTCTGTAAATCTCTGAAGTGTTTGAAAATGACCTATCCTTCTAAATTATATCTTTGTTTCATCTTGAAAATATACCTAGTATGACTATGAGTTCAATTGTACTAGGTGATTAACTACTAACCTATATTTCTTTATTATACTAAACAGTTAATTGATAATAATATTTTTCAAAGTCTAGAAATTTATATTAATTTATAGTAAATGAGCTGTAGAGGTACAATAGCTCAGACAAGAATGGAACTGTATGTAGAGCATGTTTTACTAAAATTGAACGCAAGTTTGTATCCATATACGAAATCTGTATACAATATACAATACTAAACCATTGCAAAACACTTAAAACCAATAGGTTTTAAAAGCTGGATCAATAATCTTTTTTATTTTTCTTTTCATTTTATCACTCTTCTGTCCCTGTCTCTCTGTCTCCTTCTATTTCACCATTGTGTGTTTTTGATCCATGGTTTCTCATTAGCAACAGAACCTGTCCGGGAACCTGCTCTGTAGACCAGGCTGACCTTGAACTCATTAAGACCAGCCTGCTTCTGCCTCCCAAGTGTAGGGATTAAATTGATTGCCACCACCAACGCCCAGGCTTTGTTTTTCAAAACAAAAACTTTGGATCTAACCAAATATGCTTTGTTTAGATTTTTCCCTAAGCATTATCCATAATAAATTGTAACTAATACATGACACAAAAACAAACATCCATAATCCAATTTTGGGTGGAGGGGAGAAGTGTGCCTAGTTTTCTAGGCTACTTCCTATCGATTGGGTGCTGATAATTTTTTTGAATGAGACAACCGTTTGTTATAACGCGCCAGATAAAAAGGTTTCCACTGACACTGAACAGCTGACAAATTATTGTTAAAATTAAACTAAACCTTCAAGAGGTTCAAAAAAAAAGCGATTTAAGCGATTTATGTAAATTGAACCAAGACTGGTTCTCGACATAGGTAACTGTATGTAAGCAGGAGCAGCTTAGGACTCTTTCCCAGCAGTTAGGCTGTAAAGCTTCTCCTAGCCCAGTCTCTTTGGTCACCACAAATGGCTTCTCTTACACTAAATGTGAAAAATCTCTTGGAAATGACACAAAGGCCAAATAAGTTAAAAAAAATGTTATTTTAGGGTCGAAAATCTATACATCCAGCTCAGCACGTCCTATGCAATGTCAAAGACTAAATCAAAGTGGCTACAATGTGTATGCCGTTCCTGACTCAGGAGCACTATCAACATTTCCAAATTACCACCTTCACCATCAACATAGCACACACACCTTCAGTTTAGCTGTGAGCAGACAGCTTTTAAGGAAGGTGTAGAACACTAAGCCAGAGAGCTCACATCAGTGAGAACTCTGGCTCCTTCTGGGAAATCTTTCTGGGATCATAAAGGTGATTAGAAGGAATATTAAACTACCTCCTATACAGCAGGTGAGGCAGAGACTGGAAAAAAGTTCTCCTCACAGGGCCAAGGAATTAATGCTTAAACCCAAGTCTGGGTGACTGGATAAACAACAAAACAAACTCAGCCGAATCAAGGGAAAATGGGGTTTATTTTACAGAGCATCGAAAGGTAAACGGAACAGTCGAAAGGCACCCATTGGTGGCAAGGGAGTCCACAACCCATGGTGTGAGTCCTTCCGGCCTCCGTCAGAGTCCTTCTCATGTGTGCTCAAGGCTATTTCTTCTTAAGCACAGATGTGGTGATTTCCCGAGAGTCTAAGAGGCAGGCGGGCAGGCTTCAATCATCAGTTTCAGAATCTGTCTGCATGTAGACATCCAACTCAGCGTCGAGGCGTGCTTTAGTGTTGGACATGTATGCATCCAGTTCTTTGTCCAGCTGCTCCTTGGTCAATGCAGGGCGAGTGCGGGCACCTCTGCCTCGACCACGCCATCCAAAGTTCCCTCTTCCCCGACCTATCACAGCCAGACCTCTACCACCGATTCCACCACGACCCATAGCTGCACGCCCTCGGCCCCCTCTCCCAGGTCCTCCACGACCTGGAACAGGACCACTTCTTGAGTCCATTCGTGGGGCAGCAAAGTCTTGTTCACCTCGGAGGAGCGGGCTTCGACCTTGGAATGACAACCCGCCCCTTGGCAGGCTTCTGGTGGCAAGTCCCCCACGTAGTCCTCCTCGTCCTCGTCCTCGTCCTCGTCCTCGTCCTCGTCCTCGTCCTCGTCCTCGGTGAAAGCCTCCCAGGATTTTGGGTTGGCCTCGTCCTCCCATCGCTCCACTGGGTAGGCCTAAGGGAGCCTGGATGTTCCTCTTGTTACCCAGGCGCTGCTTAAGTGTTAATGCTGCCCGGACAGAGGGTCTATTCTCCATCTGCTGGGCCAGTCTTCTGTTTCTGGCGCTGCCTTGCAGCTGTTGCTGCAGCGAAGCCCGAATAGTCACTGGCGTGGGCTGTTTGTTCTCCAGCAGACCAGTAAAGCGCTCATTTAGAGACAACTTGGTGGTGCCTTTTAGCACCAGTTTCGGCTCTGATTGTGCATCCATCTTCAGATCCTGAGAATCGAAGGAGATGGACTCCAGGGCCCCTCTCGCGGCCGCTGCGGGCTGCTTGTCTGGACCAGAGCTGACCAGGACCGCTGGGGTTATCCTCCTGGCCCGTTGGGTTAGGCGCTTGCCTAAAGGGTATGACGCGAAGCTCACTCCTGGTGGCTTGGCTATCTAGTCCGCCAACACTTCTGCTTGTCCGGCCTACCCTCTCCTCCTTTGCTTTGTGCTAGTCCGTGCTGCCAAGTCCGGCTTGCTACCTCCAGGAATCTCACAATGAGACTGTGTCTGAGAGAGGGCTCCACGCCTTTTTATAGTCTCCTCTAGGGGTGGAACTAAAGGCCTGCACCAATGGGATTAGGGTGTGTGTTAGGGTGTGCCGACTGCTCATTAAGTCTGATCAGGGAGACTCTTTTACTCTCAGATCTTTAGGTAATCTTTATTGATTAAAATACAATTGAAATGTCACTATGTTTCCCACTCTCTATGTAAGAGAAAAGAGAAGGATATAACGAATACGAGCATATACAATAAGTACAGGCAATAAATACATCAACAATGCCCCATCCATTTGCATTTGGCAAATTGAGAGAAAGATTTCACCTCTATCCTATGTATTTGGGTTCAAAGTTTTCTCCCTAATTGATGTTCTCTCGTAATTTGCTTTCTTTTTCTGGAAAACTAGAGCTGTAGCTATCAAATCCTCAACTCCCTCAGAGACCCAAGAAGGAAATAATAGGAACTCAGTAATCAGGAAGGGCAAGCAGGCGACTTCCAAACCGTTCGTTGACGAAACAGCTGGCTGCCCTGACTGTCACCCAAACTGAGTTCTTTGGCAGCATTGGGCCGTCTGTCTTTAGGGGCAACCATCTGCCCATGGAAGCCAGAGCATGATGTTAAGTGTCTTCCGCAATTACTTTCCACCTCATTTTTTGAAGCAGCATCTAGAGCTCACTGATGGGCTAGACTGGCCCACGACATCTCCCTATCTCTTCTTACAAGTGCTAGGATGACGACCAAGCACTGCAGATACCCAGCTTCTATTCAGGTGCAGGAGGCCCAAAAGCAGGCACTTGTGGCTATGCAGCAAACACTTTACCCCCTGAGCCACCCCATGGCCTGAAACAGGACTTTAAAAAACACACTAGAGGGGGAAAAAAGCTAAAAATGTATATATACAGGGATCTGAAGGAGATAGCTTGTTGGTTAAGTATTTGACAGGCAATCAAGTTTTGAGTTCAATCCCTAATCCCTAACAGTGGCCTGTACTCGGAATCCCTGGTGGGGGCAGTGCATATCTCTGGGGATTACAGTCACCCAATTTAGTCTAATGGGCTAGTGCCAGGTGCCAGTAAGAGACCCTGTCTCAGAAAACAAGGTTAGACAGCTGTTTAGGAAGGACACCCAAGGTGGACCTCTGACCTCCACACACCTGACACATACACATGTACACCTGACCTGTACACATGTACACCCACACACCCTAAATGATAAATAAATAAAATTTTAAATCTTTAAAGACAGCTTGGCTTGCCACATTTTCCCTCTCATAGTACACTTGTCAAAGTCATTCATTCCTTTCCTTCCCCACCCCCCGCCGAGATGGCCATCTTTGTGGTCAAAGTTACTTGAACAGAGTCCTATATATTCAGTTAATACACAGTGACCTTCTGTTCTCCCGTGACCAGTTCTGCAGATCATGTAAATTCCATACAATATGCATGGCCCCCTTGACTGATTGATTATCCAGTCGGGCTGATGTTGACCCCGGTGTGTATTCACTTTTGTAAAATTGATGATTGCCTCAAACGTGGGTCTTTGAATCCAACTGGCCTGGACCTGGGAAGCAGTTTCCACTCAGCTCTGGGCTTTTCTCTGATTAAAAATACATTACCCTGTTTTTCTTGAATTTCAAAGATAAACTGATATAACTGTTCAGTAAGAAAGAAGTGTGCCAGGCTTCATGTGTGATTTCCAAGGAGGTTTGTGTCTGGTGGCAGGAGAAAAAGAGGCCATGAAGGTGGTTTTGGACAGGGACAATAGGCTTCCACAGGGACAGGGGCTCTGGGTCTATGGGCTTTCTGAGTTCTGAAACACATATGAGCATCCTATTTACTAAAAGTTGTCTCAGGAGGGTGTGCCAAGTGTTGCCATAGGATGCAGCTTCAGGGGAGGATGCTAACAATACTTTGTAGGACCTCACTTTTGCAGTCAACACATGCTAGTTAAATATACCCATGGCTGAAAGTCCGAGACCTTGAATTTGATCTTGAGTGGACTCTTGGGAGCACCAACTGAAGGCTACCCAGTGACATCATAATTCCACTCACCCCAGTGCATGAATGTCCTGCCTCTCCTAATCTTGTGAATCTCCCTGAGTTTCTGCTCACTCTTAATCTAGTTCAGTGTTAACTCTAGCTCAGAGGTGCGTGAAGTGCTGTTTTAGGCTTTAACCTCATTGTGTCTTTTGGTTTCCCTTTGAACGTGTTATGTCCAAATCCGTGGGTCCTCATAAAAACCAATAAAGGAGACCAAGTCCCATATGTAAAAGCAAAAAGTCTTTATTTTAATCAAGTTTGCAAACTCGGTCTCTCTGCATGTTCAATATATTGGAATATCCGGAGAGCCCCGAGCTCAATTAGAATTGAGTTTTTATAGTAGTAAAGGTGGGGGTGAGGGGTCTCTGAGGTTCAGGACCCCTGATTGGCTGACATTTGTCTAGGGGTGTCCTGGTGAAGTGCTGGCATGTGTTTCTATTTACAGTGCTTGGAATGCCAGGAATTTCCTTTGAATGGTCTGTTCTTGGGTGGGATCAGGTAATCTCCACGCCTGCCAGGCATTGTCTCAGGGTAAACTATTGAGACTCTAGACTCCATTTAAATTTATTGATGGCCAGAGTCCCAAGTGATAATGGTTGGAGGAAGTAAAGAACCGTTTTGCCCAGACTTAGATTATCATGGCTGGCCCTCACAAACTCACTTGAATATTGGAAAGCTAAACCAAAGAAGAGAACTTGCTTGAACTGAATTGTGCCTGAATTGAAAAACAGCCCCTGCGTCAGTTTTTGGGACTGGGTGGTTGGGACAGAAAAGCTCCATTTACAGTCTGCATCTTGTGAGCTCCTCCCCTCATTTTCACACTTGGGAGGCAGTCGGCACTATCTTTGCAAAGAACCTTCCATGATCTTTCTGACAGCATCTAGCAGGTCAGGATGTTTGCTGATCCATCATTAACTGGACATTATGCCAGTTTCATATCTTTCAATTGCTTAACCACAAAGCTTGTTTACTCCCATGGTTACAGGGGCTCTTCAGGATAGATGGCATTGCATGCTCCCGTAAGTCTCATCTGAGAGGCTCCATGTGTAAGCGTTTGAGTTGGTTGAGACGTTCTTTCTTCTGAGAATATTAGTAACCACGAGACCGAAACTTCCAAGGTGAGTGTTTTTAGCTTCTCGGGGTTCAGACTTAAAAAGCTCTTCCTACTAGGCAAAACAGTGAATACTAACACCATCCTCAGGTGCATAAACTCAGGGTGTTACTCTTTAATTGCTTCAAATTCAATACTATTCAGGTGCTACCATACCACATGGCTATTGGCCAGGTTTCATCCTGACAGAATCCCTAAATATTTTGTGTGTGGTTCTAATGCATAATCTTTTGGTGTTTGTCCAAGCACAGAGGTCGGTATAACTCTTTACGGGAATTCCTAGAATCTAAACAGGCGTACTCAGAGCTTAAACAGGGCCCCTACCCCAACAGCCTTCATTGCCAACATAGCCAGAGTGCCCTCCCCCCACTGACAGGGAATTCTGGGAAGACAACTTCCCTTGGCATATCTTGTTACAAGATTAAACTGTGTAGAGAGAGTCTGGGGGAGAACTTAGAGGGAGAAAAATGGTTACTCACATTCCCTAAATTCTGTTATTGTTTTGGAAGCTTGAACAAACAAAGTGGTGGGTGAGGACTTCTCAGCTGAGCGACCCAAGGAGCAAGGAACAAAAACAACGGACTTAACTGGAGGGTCTAGAAAATCAAACTAGTGAATGCAGTGTCCTAAAACACAGACATACATACACATGCTTGCATTTTGCACACACACACACACACATACACACACACACATGCGCGCGCGTACACACACGTATTGACATGTCAAAATTATGTGGAAGGAATTGATCTGTGATTATTTTGAATTGAAATTGGAAGCTCTTCTAGAGGATATTTCTGAAATGTGTGCTTTTATATTTGTACATATATCACTACACATTTCTGAACATACTCTCTAGGATCTCTGCTAGCTACTCCCTGCCATATATACAACAGACAGTGACAGAACCAGATGGGATACCTGGAACGGCCCACAGAGGAGAAGGGCAGCAGTAGTGAGTGGGACTATAGGAACCTCTCAAATAAAAGGTGGGATGCATACCAGTGCAGGGGAGGGATCAGCAGGGTCCATGAGGAGAACAAGGTGAGCCTGGTACAGAGCAGAGGACCTAGCACAAAGTGGGAGCATTCAGGTAATGAGGTGGCCTGCGGTACAGAGTCTGGGTGTCGGATGAGGAAAGGGCACTGAGAGGGGGTAACATCGTTCTAAACTGTAGCCAAACTTCAATGCTAGCTTCAAGAATATGGACATCTTGAAGGCACTGGGAATCCACAGATGGTCTCTGTTGTGTTTAGGGATGTGGGTGCAGCCAGGGAGGGAAGAAGAGGTAATGCCGTGTGCAGATACGGCTGCGAGATGACTCAGCCCTGGTGGGTGATGATCCGAGAGAGGGGTAGCTGGGGATCTGCAGGCTGCAGTAGGCCAGGGTGAAGACATGAGCGCCCAGCTCAAGGCTATCAGTTAGCACAGCTGTACTCCTGGAGTAGCGTGAACTCCGCCATTCCATCTTACCTCAGTTAATTCTTACCATTTTTTATGAAGTAGCTGCCTGACCATCTTACAGAGAGATCTGGTGTCATACAATGTGTGAATGACAGGTGGGATTTAAACTCACTTTTACCACCACTTTAAGATCCTTGTTCAAAATACACTGTGGCACATTGGTATATATATTTTTAATGGCTAATAACTGCAGAAGCAGAGAATGTAGAAGAGGCTCTGCCTAGGCCGGGTTATCCTTGCATCCCAAGATCCTGGTCATAACCACCATTGTGTAAGCAACTCTGTAATCTGTTATCTTCCATTGGGATTTGAAGCAAAAGTCTCCTGTGCTGAGTCCCTGTTCATTCAGGCTTGTGGAGGTATAGACAGGCAGAGAGTCACAACATGTTTCAGGTTTGTGGGAAATTGCAGAGGACAAGACAGAAATCATAAAAGCACAATTGAATTACATTGTGTTGTGGCCCCTGGGATAACAGCTGTTTTCCAGGTCTACAATCCTCATTAGGAAATTAAAAACCCGAAGCTTCCCATCCGCAGCCTTGCACTGTTGGCCACGTGGTGACAGGAAGCCCTGTGTTTGTACAGGTGGGGGAGCGAGCAGCCTTGCAAGGTGGGTGGCTTGAAACTCTGCTGGGAGCCCAGGTGGGGTGTGTGAGGAAAAGGCAGTCCAGGAAGGGCTGTGTGCTCTGTGCTCCCTGTGCGAGGGAGGAGTGGAAGGTGGCCCTTACTGTGTTCCTGGGTCACATCAGGGCCACAGATTCAGTAA